ATCAATGATCCCAAAGGACCAGAAAAAATATAACAACACTTAATAAGCATTTTGTATGGAAGCCAAGTACTACTTTAGTTACATCTTGCTACTTTTATGACAAATTATTGCACATTTAACGCTACCCTTTTCATGTAGAAAGCATCTATTATCTCTTTAAAACCATTATTGAAACATTAAAAAAGCGGTTGCCTAACGGTTATGATGTCCGACTCTAAACCGGGGATCATAGGGTCGAGCCTTCATCGGGATCACAATCATGTTTCACAATGACAAATGAACTAAATAAGTAATTTACATAATTTCCGAGAAATTGTTTCGCAATCGAGCTTAATTAAATACGTTTAAACTAAATGCGAAACTTAACGTTGACAAAGGAACACAATTACGCCAGTTGTAACTCATTTTCGCAGCCATTTTGTTCGGTATTTAACATTTTATTTATTACTAAATTGAATTGAAATGGACAAAATAATGATGTTTATGCTTTGATGTGTATATGTAAAAGAATTCTCAGTACATAAGCTTAATGTATTACTTAGAGTATTTATTATCGAATTCACTTAAATTTGACTTAAGTATTGTTACCAGTAACATTTAAGATATATTTAAGAAAATTCTAAAGTTGTGATGGAGAAAGAGGTTATTTTAAAAGGTTTAGTTATTACTGACCCTTTTTAAAAAGTAACGAAATAATCTTTTCAAATTAAACTATAATAATTGGAATAATTCCTCGACTTTTTGTCGGACAACATATCTTGTTATATTCTCATTTCTTTCACTGCGATTTTTAACACCCCCGAAAGAAAAGCATATAGTCGACGCCTTGTCCGTTCTTTCGTTATTCCGTTTGCCAGTCACCCTCTTTAATAACCTGTAAAGTATTGAGAAGGAATTGTATTAATAGATTAATAAAGATAAATGAGATGAAATGCATTGTCCAAGAATCATATATATACCTTGCTTAATTATATATCCTTTCAGTTAAATATGCGTGATCGGCACACCTCGATAATTACCCGCAAACCGCTCATCGGCATTTTAAGTAGTACTATCACACGATTGCAATGGCTAAAACTAAGCAATAGAGTTTTGAAATAATAATTTTGCATATCACAGATAATCTATTTCTACTCGATAGCGAAAGCTGCATATTGTGCCGTAACCATCATTTAACATAGACGACAAAAATACTCACAATGTTCTTTTGTTTGTCTTTTTCAGCTGGCTGTCACTTTTGTCAAAACATAATCATTATTGTATATGTCATCACACATACCGTTAAGTTTCTTCATTATCATGGCATTACATATCTTAATGTTAAGCACGGTTTATTAGTTTTTTTTCAATATATTTTATTTCGGGTGATGCCTTTAAATGATCACAAAAAGGGTTTATCATTTAACCTGTTTTGTTCACGATATTTTATTATTTTCCGGTGATGTCCTCTTTATTAGCAACCAGAGAAATTAAATACATGCGGCGTAGGGTGTTGTTTCAGTTCAAGGGTAGCTTACTTGTACCATTACCCTGAAAGACTTGTGCTATTCTTTATTACACCGAACCAAATTGCTTATTAATCCGAGTGCAATGCTTCACTGATTATTGTCAGGGGAGGGAAATAGAGCATTACGTTTCCGCAAGTCTATGTAGTGGTAAGGTGTTGAAGATAACACCCACTGAGGTTTAAAATATTTTATTCAAGTCTAGAAGAAATCTGTAACAAAACAAAATTTACCATCAACCCGCTCCTCTTTTCATTTTGAGATACCTTGTTGATATTTTTAATTTAGATAATTCTTATTTTAATCAAATGGTGTCTGATATCTATCCCCATTAACTACAACTTAATAAAACGAACTCTTGAAATTTATTGCATAATATTTGGATTTTCCACAAGAAAATCTATGATAGAAGAATTAACCTTGACTTCTCTATAGTTAATTATCCACATTTAGATGGAGACGTACCCCATGCAACATCTTACGGGGATATATGTTTCTCAGTTAATTAGATTTGCTTAAGCTTGTAGCAATGTTAAGGATTAAAATCATTTAACGTTTTATTGACAAAACGTTACAACCCAAGGATGTTGAGACATACCGCATGCTTAACGTTCAAGCCTTTTACAGTTAGACACAACGCTTTCCTCTTTTGATGACATTTGACGGACCAAGAGGACAACTCTTTAATGGACAGTTCATTAAGCCATTTTGGACTTAAATGTCTTCTGTCTTGCTTCTTCGGCCCTTGTAGGTGACTTTCTTGTTGCTCTGTCTTCCTGTAAGACATTGTGTACTTTTGTTACGGTTATTGGGTTAACTTTTATATGTATCTACATAATCATTTCTGTGTTTTACTTAATTCACCTTTTGTAACCAAAGCAACTGTTAGAATTTCACTATTACAATGTCTCTGGTGGGCTAAAAGTGAAGTTTGGTGCACCATTAACCGGTTTAAACGCCCTGCAGTACTTATATTCCAAGGCGGCACTCCTTTATGTTCCTTAGACATATGTCTGTTGTTTTATACTATTATGATGACACTTTTGTGTCCCTTGTTGTTTTGTCGTCCACGATATCTTCCCTTTGCCCTTAGTTATGTGTTTAATTGTAATCCTCCCTCCCAGACCTTCTATTCCTCTTTTCCAACGCTCTTAATGGAGTAAGCCTATTAATTAATCGTTCTTTAATTTCATTGCCGGTTTTTATTGTTTCCTATTCTATGTTGTTGTGGTAGTCACCCCGTCCGTGCTTTTCCTTGTGCCGTGTCCTGTTTTTGTTTGGATCCTGTTTGACTTCTGTCAGTGGTCCTGTGTTGCTAGGTCTATTGGTGGGTGAACGCCACCCTTCCTTGTGTTTCATATTTTGTTAATTAAAACCTGAAACTACGAGCTTCAGATCCTCTTGATACCTTAAGCAAAATTTTGACATTGCATCATCTTAGATTATCCTAACCCCTGACCCGATGACCTGGTTCATGTGCAAGACGAACAGTTGAAGTCTCATGATGAACATTTGTGGCTAAAAACTCAATTCATACTATTCATTTGAAAATTTCTCCATGCACGAAGAAGATATGGCATGGACAAGTTTGGACGTCCGCACACATAATCACTGAACAACCATTTTGAAAACTATGTCAAGCTCAGCGCAAGCGGGCTCAATAAAAGTCCTCTGACTTCAAGATATTATACTTCAAAACATAAGCAAGATACAGCGCCAAGAAACAAACATATTTCAATATTTTTAATTGAAATTTGAGCAGTTGTGACTTTGACCTTCATTTTGTCAGATGGAGGGCATTTGTGCTAAGAAAAATTTAAATCCATCCATGTATATAACCCTTGACCTTTGAAAAATTTGAGCATGCTATAGACCGGACAATTCCGGACGAACGTACAGACTGACGTACGGACGCACATACACCGAAAAATGCGCCAAATGTGACAACAAAGTCAAGCCGGATCGACAATAGATTGATTATAATACAAATTACAGACAGATTTATCATACAACAAAAAGTTACTAAATTTAAAATTTCGGAATGTTAATAATTACGATATATATATTATAAACATTTCACAATTACAATTTAATTAAATATGTACATACAAGGTTTGATAGAAGAGATCTTCAAAACAGTAATGTTAATTATAAATAAATATGTTAATATTTCTGTAAAGAAATAATGAATATTTTAAATATCAGACAGAGATGTTATGCTTTGATTGCAATAGAAGGAGTGCTCAGTTAGTTTCTCAGAAATGTTAGCGCTATCCAAGAATCAAATCAACATACAAAATCAATCACTCATTACTGAACTTGCAAAACAACAAAAGGACAAAAGACATACATGAAAACTTACACAACAATATATCTGGTCTGGACTTCAATAGAAATCACTTGGAGAAAACGTGAATTATTCTAACCTTATATACATCTATGTAAATTACTCGCCGCGGTGAAAAATGCAAGAAAAAAAATTGTCTGGTGATAGATTAAAAAAAACCATATGTATGTAGTTAATACTAAATGATGGTCCATCCGCCCGCAAGAGCACAAAAAGCAGCATTCTCTGTCGAGTACGGATCCCGGTAAATGTCATCATTCATGCCCTTAAAGAGGTAATTTTGAAGCACAAAGTGGTGATAATTTACATCCATGTAATTTCCACGAATTATACGCCAAAGATATGAATTTTGAGCCAAAAGTAGGTCACTGTACGGCGGTCAATGAGAACCTAAATGTACAGGAACCTGTGACAATAGGAAAGGTCAGCCCTGACAAGGGCTGTTTGTGCCAGCAAAAGGCCTGCCATTCAAGCCGTCTTACCGTGCTAAGGGCTCACCCACCTTAGCACACCATCCTCGTCGACCAAAGCGCCTACTTTGTAGGGCCACTTCCCCATCGGCATTAGTCAAGGCACCGGCAGCTTGTCCACAGTTCTTGGTGAAGTAGCGGACCCGTGATAACGCCCACGGTGGCTTCAATTTAAGTAAACTACCAGCCAAGCTGTAAATCTTCTGCCGACGCCCTGTGCCTTCTCAGCGACGAGCACGCTCCGAGGGGAAGTGAGAAGTGAAAACAAAAATCAATAACACACACAATGTATATGAACTTATTTATGTAGTTAAATAACAATAAAAACATGTTACGTGTCTGCCATCTTATTATCGCTTTATAGATGATATATATATATATGATTTTGAACACTTAATTGTCTTTTTTTGTTAATAATGGTTTGAACCATCCACCAAATTGGTATCGCAGTTATGTAAAACTAATTGTGAACAAATTATTCGTACAAATCACGCATTGAAATTGTTGAAAGGGTACAATTGTTAATGAGAGTAGAATTGCAATGCTTAAATTTGGTGTACCAAATATAAGCATAGAAGGTCGATGAAGTATGGTAACGGATAAAAGCAACAGAAACACAATTTAAGCCTGAATTCTTTATTTTTTTTCATGATTAGATGCACTTTGATTCTTTTACAGTTTACATGCTTTGATGTACATCTCGCTGTTAACAATTCCGATACTGATTGTTGTGATGATAGTTTCAATAGTGACTTGTTCCAGCACTGCAATGGGGACAAAAACTTTTAGCGATACATTTGTGCATCTACTTAGTGAAGCTGCACACTTTTGGGCAAAATGCGTTTTGGTCTTAATTGCAGGTATTTGTTTCTTTTGTTCAGTTTTGTTACTTAGTTTCTTTTTCAAATCAGTTTTTTTTATTTGTAAAATGTATTTATTTTTATATTTTTTTTACCAGAAATGTTAAGCTTTGGCGTTGTATTAAACTTTTTTTTTCTTTTTTTTTCAGAAATTGTATTGGTCTTGTATCCGTTGCATCGGATTGCGCAAGCGCAAAGACACAGTGAAATTATGACTTTCGTTCCAATTGTCCTACTTACTGTTTCGTTTATTGTCTTTATGTTAAAGCTTGAACCAACCCCTCAAAACTTTTTTGAATATTTCCTAAATTCATTAATTTTATTTTTCTTCGTTTTATTTTTTTGACTTTTCATCACGTTACAGCTACGGCTTAAAACCGCCTTCTGTAGACCAACTACCTATTTAAACAACAGTTAGTAAAAGAAAATATAATAGACAATATCAACAAGGAAAGGCGGCGTTCAATAGATCCTCACAAAAGATCTAAACACTCCAGAGCAACCCCTTTCCGGACAACCAAATTACCTTTATCGAAATAGATATTACGCTACAGAGGTGGTTCTGTATTATTCAGAATGTACAGAATTGATATTTCCTACTTTAATTCTATTTCAAAAATATAAAAGTTGATTTTTACTGCATTGCATATGAATTGTATATAAAATATGTTTGTTTGTTGGTTTGTTTGTTTCTTAATTAAATATTACAAAATGATCATTAACACCATATACCTAAATTTAGTTTTTGTATGTAAGAATTACCATAATGGATGTAAAATTGTTTTATGCTTTGAATACAAGTAAACATATCTCAGTATACAAATCATAATTCATTTAAAATAGTTTTGACTTATGATTAAATTAAGTTATATCTTGCATGTAGATTAGAAAAATACAACATCAACAAAAAGACAACAAAAAGTGCAAAACAGACGTGTACTCGTATAATTTTGCAATTAAATGTAAAAAAGTAATAGTAATTAAGTGATTAACATTTCAGCATTTAAATTGACTTTTCTGTAAAAAAATGCACTGTTTAGTCACTCAACTGTGACTTTTGTAAAAACTTGAAGAATTAAAATGATGTGTTATGAGTTTTGGAGATATAGATATATTTCTTAACCGACTATCTTCTAAAAAATCAAATTAAAAAGAAAACGTACATCATAAATTTGTGGCAAAACCTATATGACCATTAAGAAGGTGATGAAAATGATAGTCAGTGAGGCCGTTGTTTAATCAGTATTGGAACTGTTTCCTAGCATATAAGCCAACTGATTTGAAATTTAGAAATTGTTGGTTTGCGTCAACCTTTATTTAGCAACTTTTGTAATTAAGCAACGGCATAAAATCCCGCCCGATGAGTTTTACTATGTTAGTTCATTCCATTTAACGACGGTTTATATCGCGACCAGCGTCAACTAAATGTCGGCCCAAATATACGACATTAAGTGTTTAAGTATCTATTAAACGGCCGTTACAATTTCAATAGTTTCAAAATCGGATAAAAATTGCTGAACACATTTTCCCCATTGTAATATTCACTTAGCCATATTTTGTTAGAGCAATAACAAATACAACACCGCATTTGTCATGTGCTAAGGGTGAACTTCCTTCCTGTAAAAAAAGTAATCGGAACGAGCGAAAAAATGACAGACAGCTAAAAAGGCCGAAGAAATCGAATGTTGAAATCGTATGTGGAATTGAGTCTGAGTAAAAAGTAAATGGCATCGTTTATAATCAAAAAGAAACGTAAAAGGTAATTATTTCTGAAAGGCTACTTCACTGTTCTTTTAAACTCAGCCTTTCCTTGTCGGTGGTGTAGGTGCTCATCTTATAGAAATAATCTACTCATTGAACTAGATCTCGAAAAAACTAACTGAATTTGAAATCTGGTAGTGAAAAAACTTTTTGCTAAAAAAAAAATAAAAATATTTGGAGCTCTGGCTGCTTTGTTTCATGGTCACAATGACCTGCTTGATATTAATATGACCGTAGATCACATTTTCACACACATTTCTACGAATAAATACAAAAACAAACACATATTGATGACCTTTTTTTAAAAAGGCATAAATGTAATTATGAGACTGTAATACATACATAATATTGTAGTTTTTGTTATTGTAAAGAATGATATTATATCTATGACTTGTAGTATAAAAATCCCTTTATTTAGTATCGGATTTTCCAAAATTCTACTGGGAGACCAGTTTATTAAGAAAAACGTGATTGGTAAAACTCTAGGAAAAAAATTCCTATGCTTGTTCATATTAAACACGAGATACATAAATTTTAAAATAAATGCTGAATGAGCAAAAATGTTTATACTGATTTTAACATTAGTCATTTTGACACCAGTGACCTCTTTCAACATAAAAAGTCAGAGGACCATTAAATGTATCCACTTGCCAAATAATATGAAATATATCATTGAATAAATTAAGTAATTAGGAGAAATTCAAGATTTTGGTCTTGCGTATGGCACACTTTTTGTAACATGCTGCACATGATTATGTGCAGGGTCATTTTAGAGTGGCCTGATGCATGGCTGAGTTTTGAGCCGACAAGATTTTCTAACTGCTAAGAAAGCTACATAAATCAGAAGTGTAGCCCAAAACCTGCAAATGAAGCTTCCGTAAGAAAATCTGCAATGTAATAATCAGTTCAGTTTACAATCCAATCAAATCGGCTTCGCTTATTTCAAAAATGTGTATACCTAGATCATTGTATGGTTGCGAATTGTGGTTTAACCTTAAGAAGACTATAAACAACTTGATAGATTTCTTAGACTAGCAACAAAATGATGCCAAGCTCAGTTTTAGCAAAACATGTGTTCAACGTAAGATTATCAATTTATGTATGTACCGAAGAGGAAAAACAGCATGGGTTTGTTCCAGATATTGTAACTATTCTTAGGAAACATAAACACTCAATGTTTTTAAAAAGTAAATAGAAAGTGGTGTTTTTCCGTCAAAAGAGTCATGGTAAATGTTATGCAGAACAAAAAAATAAATATTTTTGAAACATAAAAGTATCCTTTAGGATGGTTAATGATGACTTTCATAAATTTCGTTTTTTACATACAAACATAGGGAGGTCAATTTTATGAGAATGTTCTTATAACTCAACAAGCTTAAAACACGCTATTCAGATTAGCAAATTATACATAAGAAAACAAAATAATACAAACATTTCAATGTTTCTTGATTGTGGAACACTCTGCTATGATGTCATCAAACATGTTATTGTAAATTGTAATGAAATGGAACTTTTTCGAAAAGAATTGTTAAAAACTGTTCATAAATATATTTATTAGAATAGCAATCGCAAATGTTTACTTTTGCATTAAAATGCACGAAGTATACCAACCTCGTAGAGACGATGATTTTGCTTTAACAGTATTATGTTAAATATGCGTGCAAGTTGTCATAATAATATTGCTTTTTAGAAGATAATACGATACTGTCATTAGTGATAACTGTACAAGCATCAAAAGTATATCACAAGATAAAAAATTGTATAATGAAAATGTAAATACTCATGAACTTAAATAATCTATGTCTATTCGATAATTATTCTAAGTTTAAGTATTAATGCTTATGCCTTTTTCACTTGATATTTTCATGTTGCATTTGATCTGTACTTAACAAATATGTTATGCGTGTTATTACCACCAATGTCTCCTGTTTATGCAAAATTGTATATGTGTATATTTGTTATTTTTCAGTTAAAAACATTGTATTATAATGTTTATCACTTAAATGTTGAAATAAAGAGTATATATGCACCTACAAATTTTATGTGTTCATAGGATATTTGCGCAAATAATATTTGCCTGTAACAGTGGCACATTTATATACTTAAAGGCATATTTCATAAAAACCATGTACAGTATATATTGATGAGATTAAGCTGTGTGTTGTAATTATATTGTAAGTACAATTATCATTATGTTGCTTGCAAACAAATATATCTGCATTAACAATAATTATATAAAACTTTAAATAAAGACCATTTCATACTTTGTATTGACATATGAGTGTTGTTAAATAATAGTCATCCTTTCAGATCCGGAATTATAAAAAAGTATTAGAGTCAATAATGCATAGATTCCAACCTAAGTTTAACTCTGATATGAGAGAGTTAAAGATCATTGTGTTCAACAATTGAACATTTAAGACTTCTGATAATACTTTTTACAGTGCTAAAATTTATATAGTTAAATTAAGCCTATAAGTTAATAAATTTAACGGCCATAGACCCCTAAAATTGTTAAAAGTTATACAAATGAATTAAATAAACACTAACCTTTGTATAAAAGATTAAAGGTACTCCACTGAGGTACGGCCGAATGTCACAAAAGAAAGTAAAATTTCACAAACCGATAATTTTTTGTTACCTGCGTGTTAGGGACATTCAAACAGAATCAGTGATACATTGATATGTGCTCTTTGGATTGGCAAATCGTTTGAAATACATATTTTCTCCAATTTTGTGGGAAAAGCGTTTAAACACCTTTCAGTTTGCAAATCTGAATAAAAACAACGGTCACGTGATGATTCTCGGGATGACTAAAAAGCGAAACGGAGAATTTTTTTGTGTATCGGCAGCAACGAAAGTGCGAAAGTGGAATATACCAACAATCCATAAATTTAAAAGCAAATTATGGGTTTGATTGTTAAATTTCTTGTTGTTCACATATGTTCTTGTGAGAAAAATCTTTCAAAAGTAATTTCAATATATTTAAAGCATTACATTGTTGTAATCATGTTTTTTTCTCCATTACAATGATGAATTTAGCTAAACGTACGGAGTTGGAAACTGACATAAACAAATTTTACAAATATTCTATGTTAATTTGAGATCTTTCGTGTAATTCTTAGATATTATGTATAAACTTTGTAATGGTTAAAATATCATGATATCTAGGCTAAGAAAATTTACTTTGTCAATCAGTGTAATTGGTCCTTTTTCAAAGGTCACTTTGGTTTATCTGACACTCGTCCTGGAAAAAAAACTTCGTAATACCTTTTATACAACGAACATGAACTTGAGTATTGTAAGCATAAAAAATCACACGCACACTCAGAATGTTATTCCAGAGATTTCTCTTTAACTCTGATCAAAGCACCGAAAGCACTGGCTAAATAGAGAATGAATCCGGCCTCATTATAGGAAATTTAGGCTTCCACTTTATTAGTTAATATTTCTTATGTGTCTAGTGCATATTATTAAAATTCTATAAGAAAAAATCGATCTCCTTTGCTAGATAGATCTGAAATTTAATATTTATCATTTTACATACATACTTGCATATTTATCCGGATTGGATGTAAACTTTGTTGATGAGAAGATTACTACGTTTTGATCTAGACATTCAAAACTATAGGTAATTGATACCTGTTTCATGCACATGGTAAACATTATCAAGAAGGTCGGAAAAGAGTTACAATATGGCTCTATTAATATTATTATTATTATCATTATTGATTTAGCAGATATCCTGATAAATTTCTTTCTTATTGGAAGGCCTCCGTACTAGTGATGGGTCAATTGAGCTGTGCTTTAATGTTACCAATATATTGAAGCTTCCCGGTGGAAAAGAAATGGAGAGCGTTATAAGAGTAAAAAAAGGAAAACTGGAATAAAGACAAACAAGGCGACGGCAACGTTGACAGGACGCAGCCCCCGACACAGTCAAGCTTCCACAGCAGGGTTATTGTCGTGACTGGTTAAATAAACTTAAAACTGATTATATAGTTGTTGTTTTTTTAAACCCTAACATTCTTTCAAATTAAACGAAACAAACAAAATCATGATACTTGCAAGACAAATGTGAAGGGCAGGTAAGTAAAAGTAACTTTAAGAATTCAGTAAGATATTATTAACCTCACCTCAAACAACAACCATTACTTAAACTTTGTTTTGTAATACTTCCAACTCCTAGACGGTATACAAACTTGGGAAAGGGCAATGCATATCTTAACCATTGTTTTTACTCCTTATAGCCTGTTTATCATGGCATACTCATTGTTAATAGTTTTGTAAATATTTTGATAAAAAAGGTCAGGTTCATTTCCCGACTATTTTGGAAAACACGAGTGACTGGTTTCAAAAACTGCAATGGTTAAATATTGATCGGGTGCATTTCATTGCATAAATAAGTTAGGAAGAGAACCCTGCTTTTCTTCCTTTATAGCACTAAAACCTTTACTTTTCTCTACTTTTGTCTCTTCTTTCTTCCTGTTTTTCATTTTTTTTTGTTTAGTCTTTTTATTTACCACTTGAAAGCCTGAAATTAAATTTTTCATTGATAATTTAGCTGTGGTCCTGTGTTGCTTGGTCGTGTGGGTGTTGCATTCATTGAATGTTACCATTCCTTTTTGTATTTCTGATCGAAGATCAGGAAATACAAAGCTAACAGTCAATCTCTGACACAGCGGTTTCACGACAAACCTAACAACAAGCAGTTCTTAAAACAGCTGAAAACTAGCGATTTAAAAGAAAGAAATATTTTCATTTTGTTATAAGAATCCAACAAATTACAACGCATTCAAAGTTTAAAAGTAGCTTTGGGTTATAGAATTGTCAATGAATGCACATTCACAAATTACGCGGATGAATATCATTTTAATCAATGAAAATGCTATTTTAAGCGATGTCGAGAGCGTATTTCAAAAATAAATCTGACTGTCGAGTAGTGGAATATATACATGTCGGACTGTTTTGGCGAGAAGATTTTTGTTAAATTATTTACATCAATGTTAAACAACAGGTTTATCTTGAACAAAAATCCTCGAAATTAATAAGGATAACAAACACGAAATGCAATGAAAAATCTAAATTTAGAATTACTTGATTTTATTCAGGCATTGTTCGTATATCTTCTCCGTGGTGCGAGGGTAACGCGCTCGTTTAGTGTGTCTGGGGTTCAAATCAAGTTCAAGGCAATTGTTTTTTATAAAGTTTCTTTGTTAAGGAAATAGCCACGATATGCAAGGATAAAGTGTGGCTGTCATAAAAATGAACATAAATGATTTTTTGATGCAACTCTAGTCATGCAAAATTCCATATGTATCAAACTCTGGTACCAAGCAAGAAGAATTATAGTACATAAAAATAAACTTATACAGGAAAATAATACAGTTATACAGTGCGATTTAGATTGCAAAGATCAGAAAATACCACAGAGCTTGCAGCCTTTTGATTTATCTTGTTTTCCGAATGTATGTTCTGGAGATTAGGTGGGTTGTTCTCGTAATACTTTAAGATTTATAAGATTGTGTATTAAAAGCTTTTGTTAATTGTTTCGGAAATAGTGGATATCGTTTTGAAAATTTATAGAGCTACTGAAGTATTTTAAACCCATGAACGAAAAATTTCACAGTAACAGGAATTAAAATTAATTCCTAAGTATTTCGGTTATAGTGATTATACCGTAATCAAACGTTAAAGGTCTCCTAAGAAATGTTCTTTGGAATTAAATACTAAGTGTAAGCACTAGAACATAAACCACCAGATTGCTTGCAAAATCTTTATCGGCAGGAAAAATTGGTTCACAAAACATGATTTTTCACAGTCATGATCAAATGAACAGACTAGCTGTCATTTTCTTCCTGTTACCGAAAGATACGAACAGACTGTCATTTTCTTCATGTTACCGAAAAATACACACCAGGAAGATTTCAAGTAGAAGACACGTCACTGACAGAATGTTCTTAATATTTGAATAGAAAAGAATTTGCTAAAGCCAATTTATGAAAGAGAAATCGGGGATGCCACTTATTAAATTATTTGCCCATAAAAGAGGGTTTATTTTACTCGTTTAGATTATTCTCAAAAACAAAAGTCTCAAAAAGCAAAGGTTAGCTGATATCAAAATGTAAACCGCGACATATAAAATTAATTTACCTGTGAAACTGGAGTGAAAATGTGTTAGTTTATCCGTTTTTTTCTTCAGTGCCTTCAGCACTTTGATCTTATATGTAGTACAAGTAAACTATATCGTTTTCACCGAAAAATCATTAAATTCTAAACAAGTTTCTAACAGAATCATAAACATTTATTGTATCATAGTTTGAAGACATTTCTGTTGAAAACGTGTCAGAGTTAAATCGAATTCATATACATGCACAGTGCGTAGCTGGAGTGCAGGTAATAGTTCCCAACACTCCAGAGCATGCCCATTGATGATTTTTTTCTGGGGTTTCATATTGTTACAACGGAACGTGCATTCAATTTTGCCTATGGTATAAATATGATGTAATTGTGTGTGGAACGTGTATGTACGATCCTATCAAGATAGCCTAAACGTCGCTCATTACATACACAGATGCCCGTTTGTGCCAGAAACAATTTTGCAAAGGGGGCACATGAGCTCTTACTCCACCAGTAAAACTGAAGAGTCGCCAAAATGACCTACACAGTTTTGTGTTACATAACCCCCACTTCATTCCAAAAACAAACAATCAAAGCAAATGAGACATGTCTTGTATTTGATTTAAATACGTTATAGATAGCGTTAAATACATTTATTAGTGTGATTACACTGTGCTCGTTATAGTATAAATATCACCGATGCATTATGTTTGCCTTAGAATATTGAAATTGAAACTGAAATGTCAATGAAAATAATTGTACATGTATATTATATCTTCGCTGGCGTTTGATTTTTCAAGACAACGAAATTGCTACCTTGATTATCTTTTATACAGTTTTTCTTCGTTATACTCAAGTTATATAAAAATGAAAGGTTACAGTGTTGAGAAAAAATCAATAGACTTTTTTACCCCCGTTTACTCTGTTGTTTCAAAAATGTCCGTTGCGTATTTTAGTCATACCCGATGAATTGTGGGTAACTTCTGTACATGCCTGGGAAAACCAACTTTCATTTTTGCATCAAAAGCTAATGTGAAAATGCATTTTCTAGCATACTTGTTGTTAGAGGGTTGGTTAAAGTGTAAGTTATTGTTATTTTAGTTATAATATTGTGATTTGTGAGGAAATTTGTTTACATTTTTTTGGACACCAAATTACCTGTCAGACCTCAGTGTAGCCCCTTTAAGACAACATTTTCATTGGCTAATACATAAGTAGCATTTTTATGTGTTGTTATATTTTTCTGGTCATTCGGGATCTATGAAGTGTTGAGAATTGAGTACCGCTCAAGCCGGTGCTAGGGGGCGTGAGGGATGCACTTATTCATTATCCCTCATGTACAGACTGAATCAAACATAGTTTGCAATTTTCAAGTAATTTTGTTGGGATAAATGTTTCCGAGGGATCACTTTAAATCCAGATTGTTTTAGACATGTATATAATTAAGCTTATAAAACAATTTTCAAACATCAAAGACTATGTAAAATATGTTATGTAAATATTTGTGCACATTATATGCAATCATTAAAATATATGCAATCATTTCTTATTGAAAAAATGACTTAGACTTTATTGAACATAAATTTCTTATTACCTCCCTTTATTTATATGAGATGTTAACTTTGGTATTGCCTTTATAAAAAATTCTTTTTGGACCTTAAAATATTGATAAATCTTAATTTGAGCATCATATTTATTAATATATAAAACCATGAAAAAATAAAGTTACAGGATATTTAATGAAAATTAAGTAGTACAAAGACTTTAGTTAGGAAAAATTCTGTAAAAAGGCTAATTAAATTTCGTAGGTTCCCCAATGGCCACATAATGTCAAATGGTAAAATGTGCAGCCTGACAGGAAGTTAAACCCAATACCCTGTGAATAATGTACCGCGGCTTTACCGACTGATCTATTTGGCCGCTTAATTATTATAATTTATTTAAAAGCCGAACATTTCAATACCGTAACAATTAATTGAGGTGCGGGTAATGAAGTTTCTGATAGGTGACTGGCCTGTCATTCCAATTATTAAACAATTGTAATAATTGTATTTCTTCATAATCATATCTTTTTTATACGTTCATGTCAATAAAATACCTATTCTTGTGTATAGACAATGAGCAGTATTCAAGATACAGGCATTAATCTTAAAGATACATGGTTACAAAACTATTCCCATCATTTATTCCCTTGAGTCATAGATCTACAAATGAGTTAAAACCAAACGATGGAATATCAATTACTAAATAGAGAATAACATCACGGTGATAGGGCGTTTACCATAACTTTTCCGCGCAACGTCAAAATATCATACTTCTGACCGAGACACCGTACTGGAACCGTTTTTATTTGCACCATACTTTATATAAGTAACTGTTAATTGACCTGCTGTTATGTTATGTTGCTGATATAATTATGTTATTTTATGGAACATTTCTGAAGGTCTGGTCTATGTAAAGTATTATAAAGTATGGTGCAAATGAAAACGGTTCCAGTATTTATCGGTCAAACGGAAAAAGAATGCGGTGTATAAATTCAGTGTTGTACGGTGCTCCAATATTCGAATAAATCGGCCTTTTTACAGCTTATATTCCCTAAAATTTACAATAGAAACACACAATTTTGTATGGAACTTGAATTTATGCCTAACCATAATATATACACGAGCTCGTAAGGTCATAGAACAAATACATCGTCGTTTTAACACATGTTTTTGTGACAAGTACGAGTCATGTTGAGGTAGACACGATCTTTTGTAAACACTATTTCTTCGAAGCATGTATTTTTTGTGAATTGTGTTGTGCTAGATTAACGATAAATTGTTTCAAAAATTCGATGGAGTACTTAAACAATTGGAATAATTTTGCAATGTCTAGCAGTAAGATATTTTGTAAGCAGAAATATACGGTGTCTCGGTCAGAAGAATGATATTTTGACGTTGCGCGGAAAAGTTGTGGTAAACGCCCTATCACAGTGAACATGCCACTGTCAATCCTATCAGGCGAAGCTGATATTAAATTGAGTACATATAATCTATGATAAAGCAGACAGAACAAAAAAAAACACTGTCCAGTCTACTATGCGTGCGAATTTACCACGAACGCCAAAGGCTTGAGTCTCGTCAAAACGATGAAACCGGTATTAAATAACCGATAAACATCACTCACACCGATATTAATTATGTTCTAACATGACAGAATAACAGAGATTACTTTTTTCAAGCTCAAAGAAAAAACTTCCATTGCCGAATTGTATGATATTTATGTTATAACGCTGTTCTATTTCAACTCAAATTTCACCAATGTTTAAAAAATAAACAAAAGAAATAAAATGAATTCAAAAATATGAGTCACTTTTTTTCACTTCCGCTTTTGGGTCTATCCTCCAAACGGGCACGAACACACGCACGCACACACACACACACACACACACACACACACACACACACACACACGCACACACACACACACACACACAGACGCTTTGTTGTTTTGCATTGATATGTCATGTTTGTCCAGCTATTAATTATTTCCATATACTGGTTAGATTTTTTTACCATCAATCATTGCAAAAAAAAAATTAGTAAAAATTCAACTATTACACCGCCAAGGTCATTTAAATGTCAAAAGATGTTTTGTTTAAATATGTAGACAATTAATTAAGAAATAAAACATTTCTAGCCAGTTGCAGCAACAAATTATCAAAATTCAATGTTTTACCTTGAAGGTCAAGGTCATTTATGACTTAAGGTTAGTCAGTTAAGTTAACTTGAAGGAATATTCCAAATGATTGCCATGTCGAAATACATGTATATAGACAACTCAATCACTAACAAATGATTGCCATGTCGAAATACATGTATATAGACAACTCAATTACTAACAAAAAAAATATAGCCTTTCTTACATTTTTGGAATATTTCTAAGTAAATAAAAAGAAAACATAAGTATGTCAAACGAGCTAATACAGATATAAAACTTGACAAAGAAAGTCGCATTGCAATATTCCTTTGATGTGCCAAGGTTCAAGTCAATGTATCTACCCGTTTCCAAACTTGAACGGGACGGGACAAAAGTGATTCCTATATAATAGCCTCCCCCTCTATGTTTTTTGGGGATATAAAAGTCTAGGAAAGAGGCATTTTCATGAGTATAAATTGAAATTGCAACATGTCTGATGCCCATTTACCAGTGGTTTAAGCGGTATGCAATCTTCTTAGTCTATTTTTTTGCGGATATTCTAGTTAATGTACAGAATGAAATGATCATGCTATTAGCAAATTTGCTGACAAAAAATGTAAAGCAAATTTAAATGCTCAACCGTCATTGCAAACATTTTAATTATTAATATTATTTTATTGATTATGAATTTGCACAAGAATAACTAAAGCCTTCCTAGCATTTGTTTGGGCAAAGCCAAGTACAAACTTTGATACGCTGTCATTGACATACATTACATTGGGCCATGGGTGATAAAATGTTGTAACATACAGGCAATGTTTAGGACCAGTTGTCTCCCTCTAGATGTTTGCACTCTGTTAAGGAATATTAATAAGAGGATGCATCATGTTTCATTCTTTTGCTTAAAAAAGCGTATAAAAATAAAACTCCCCCTTTTCCAGACAGATTAAATATATTCACTACGTTATCATACGTTTCATCATCATATTATGTTTGTGAACAAGATATATTTGCAGTTCTATTACATGTACACAGGTCTAGTTGTAAGTGTTTAAGTTTTAAAATATGGTGCTAAGGCTTGGGCTGCGATTTATCATAAGTTTGAAAGTTTATTTTACTTTTACGAATGACCGATTGTGTCATTTCAACTTTGTTAATTATCTGGTTCGTCTTCACGAATTTACTATTTCAATTTCAAGAATACACGAGTCGTGATATCGTGAAATTGAAAACGTAAAGTTGAATTCGTTACGTTAAGATCGCAAATATATGAAGTTAACAAACATCGTGAATTCGTCCAGTTTAAAAGATAAAAATCGTAATTTCCTGAAGCTGCCGTCGTTAATTGGTGAATTCCGTATGTTGAAAACGTGAGTGCAAAAAGTTAAAATTGTGAATTCACGAAGTTGATATCGGGAATTCATAAAGATGAAATGTCCTCCTTGTCATCATGGACATCATTGTATACAATGGTAACATTGTTTTATTGTTAGTTCTGTAAGCATTAGCTCCGTAACTTTTCATATAATTAAATGTAATGAAAGTATATTTTGTTCGTTAAAACATTGATTTAGGCTAAATAGACAGCTATTCCGTAATGAAAATTAATATGTTTAAAACAAAAGTACAATGAAAGAGGTATGGTGTCGTCAGCTATGAATATATTAAAATGATTTTATTATAATCATGGTTGTCAACTATCACAGAATGTATCCAATAAAAGATGAGCTTTAGCTCCTGTTGTGAAATGATAAGTGGATATTTATCAAGACAGTTTCTGTAAAGTCTGTTTCCTGGTTTACTTAAAGCACACAGTGAGCTCTGTTATAATCATTGTTTATTTGCAAATAATCATATTAAATATTTCTACAATTTTAATATCAACAGTAGATATATATAGACTAGCATTTTTAAACAATAATTCAAAAGACTTAACTTTACGGTTGAGATTCCTGCATTCTGTCTGAATGTTCATCGGTGTTATTGCATTTATACAGTGATATAATTTGATGTATCAAAATCAATATTATATAACAGATTCTAATTTATGAAATCAAAGAAAAGTTGCATACTGTTCCTTAATATACGAGGGGTGATAAAAATAGCCGGGACTAAGCCATTAATTAAAAACAATATGCATAATATATCCTTTTTAAAATGAACGATTAAACACATTATGCTCACAACATGCATATCTAAGCAAACATAGCAATACGGCGCAGTATGAAGGTTTTCACAAAGTCATAAACTGTGACGTCAAAAAAACGTTTGAAAACCCCGAAAGCCATTCACCGTAAGTGTGCTACCAACTAAAACCTTTAACTTGTGAACTTTTTGTTTGATTAAACAGTTGTGGGAGGATACACATCTTTAAACCCGATGTCAAATATGTACTTCTGAATAAGGTAGCAAATAATTCCATCTACTAAGGTTTACAAAATGTTAGTCATTATAAGAAGAGTCTTTTAGAAGCACCACAGCGACGGAGAATACGTTTTAAGAATATCACAACCATTATATGTTTACTTTTTACCTTATTGATTATTTATCCGCGATTTTATCAAATTTTGAAAATGTTAAAAAAAAATAAAAAAGGAAAAGATAAATGAAGCTTATTTTTTCTGGAAGTATTCATTTTTAATTCAATGTCTATGTAGTTTCGTGAAAATAACAATAATGGGAAACTTGAAGAATGCAAAATGCAACAACATTGGAAAGAGTGCAGACTCGATGTAATTTAGCATTTTCATTGACTAGTGGTAAATACAAACTCCGAACCACGCAGAAGAGCCCATGATTTTAGTAGAATTACACATGTTTTATACGTCTTTGATAATTTTGAAATTTTAAATTAAGGAGCATCTGTAGATTTATTTACACGTTTTGTTAGAGAAACTGCGTGTACCTAGGACTTTCCACTGTCATTCTTGAACGTTTTATACAAACCAAGCTTCTTACATGTTGCAAAAGCCTGTAAGATAGTTTCACCAGGTGCATATTTAAAAACACAAAAAAAAAACATTATTTTAAACACGGATATAGATACACAAAATGGAAACCAGTAAATAAATAAAATGCTGCAACCTTATAATACATATTATTACAGGCACATCTTAATTTGAGACAATAGAGGGAAAGTTAATGTTTAATAGTATTTAAAACGCCTGCCCGAATACAGCGGAACTTACGTACCTTCAAATTAACATTCTTGTTGTATTCTATGAATAGTGACTTTAAGTACCGGAAAACATATTAAACAAAATTATGCACAATTAAGAAAAATTATCAGTTGTTAGGCGGCGTGTGTATCCAAGCTGTTTTATGACAAAACTAAAAGCATGCAAGATTTGAAAAATATGTGATATTAAGTTTAATTGTTTAACTTCTTAAAAACTGTTTCAAAGCAACGATTGTAAATATAATCTTCACAATATTTATAGTAATTTGTCAAAGGATTAAAATCTGATGAAGAGTAAGATTACACTTTATATAAGATCTGATAATTCCATAGTTATGAAGACCGTTCGCATTTTAAAACACTCATGACACCGTTATTATTAAACAATCTGTAGATAATTATCTTATTTGATATTTAAATCAATTACGGTTTACAGAGTTGACTGAAATCTGTTTATCTCTTACAAATGAAAACAAAATAACATTTTTATATTCTACATGGTTTACACCATCCTTATACATCGAAAGTAGACAATTACCAAAGAAAGATCTAAATGAATGTAATTCCGTTTTAAAAAGAAAGAATGCAAGTTTCTTCAACACTTATTGTAAAATTTTTGTTAAACATAGTTTAATCTATAGATTTGTACTGTGAAGAGAGTAATACATGTTGATGAATCAAACACAATTTTGCCCTTTCCCGTTTTCTCATAATGCACGCTATGATTATCAAACCGAGCGTTACTAATATAGAAACAACGATTCCAACCTCGTATGTGAGGTCATAATCTCCATATAGGTCCCTTAAGCTACCTGAAACAAATAAAGAAAATTTGAGGTTTAGACAGCTGTAATCATGTAATAATTCATGCATAATATTTAAGAATGCACAATACATATATTTTTTTTTAATTCACATTTGTCATTCATGACTACGTTTCTATTTGAATGTACAGTTGATCAGTTTTGTAAACAATCAGTTTTATAAAATACATATGCACAACGGATGAGAATGCATTAACAGTTATGTAAAAAAATACACATTTAAAAAGGAAATATAGCACCGTTAGTACTCGAGGGCAGTTAGTCACACAATGTTTTTGCCTTATTGCTGACTGAAATTCATTCGGTCGTTAGCGGAGTAGTTGGTTTTAACCAGGAAAGCCAGGTAGTTAACCGACTGCCGCGATAAATCAAAAACACAACATCAACAACAACAACGACAAAAACAAAACAACAACAATTTTTTTATGAAAATGAGAGATGTTTTATTATTTCTACTTCCATCAAACATATTGAGTTACCTAGAGCAGATCAGATATTGTCTACACATTCACTAGTGTCTATTAAAAACACAGACAGTACAAGTACGATGGACCATATTCTGTCAAAAAAAACCATTCTCTCTTAATAAAAATTAAATGAGAATGAAGCAATCCATAATCATTATTTTAAGCCTAAAAATGGGTATAACGTATAATTCATTTGCATCAAGATAATATTTATGATAACAGAATGAAATTAAATGCTACCTCCGACATAATTGCTTAGTAGATTTCCGACTCCATATGCCATGTTCAGAAAAGAAACAGCTTGTTGAAAGTTTTCATTGTCGACAAATTCGTACATAATAACTGGAAGAAACACGTTCATTAAACCAAATGCGAACCCATGAACGGCACAGGCTACATACATCCATTTGTCGAGAGTCTGCAGTAGTATGAAAAGGGAATGTCCAACTGCTAGAACAGGACACGTATATAACATATTATACACAGCTGGGAATGATTTTGTCTTTAATTTCACGATGCTTCCTAACAAGCGTCCAACAAGGTTTGCAAATCCTATTACAGAAATAAGAGCTGTTCCAAAGACATACGTATAACCAAGTGATGACATCTGGTCAACAAGAAACCACATTTCAAAGTTTGCTGAAAAGAAACAATCGTACTAGCAGGCATTTTTTAAATAAAGATCTCATATTTAAATAATTATCTAGAAATGTAGCCTCTCATAATTGAATTGACCGTACCTCTATCAAAACGTTCGAAATCGTATTTACTATTACAATGACACATATTTTGTGTGCGTCTGAATCGGTCAAATAACTTAGTTTGCAATAAAATAAATGGTGGGTGTTAATAAGACATTGGGACAAAGATATACTCGTACACTGACAATTATGCAAACGCGTCGGGAAACAGTTGTGTTTTTGTATGTATTTTTCTTGTCAAAATATCCATTGTTCCATATATTTTTGATTCCACAAAAGATGTATATGCTAGTATTTTTCAAAATTTTACCTGTACTAACAATAAGAATGATGTTCAGAAGGTACAGCCAAACTACACGATCCATACATAGTTTTCTGTCAAATATTGCAGACGTGACATTATTTTCGCCGCTTCTGTCAACAACATCTTTGGAATAATGAATCAAAATACCGCACGGAAAACCTTGTAGAGCGATACCGGCAAGGATGATGAAAACGCCTGACCAGTGGAAGTCATCAAGAAGAATCCTATAGATATGTGGCATAATTATCTGTCCGACACTTCCTGCAACTGTCAGCAATGCTATTGGAAAACTTGCATCTACTTTATACATCAAAACTACTACAGCAAAAGGAGCCATGTAGCCAATTGATAAACCAGCACCTAGAATATATAAAAACGATACGGAAAAGGGGAATCGTTTAATGTTAATTTAAATAATAACTTAAATATTGTCATGATAATTTCGGTGTCCATATTGATAAATGTGCATGTTTATTTAGGACCTTTTTGCTCAAAGATCAGACGTATTTTTTCCTTTTCACCAGCACAAACATGGGTTACGTCAAAGAAGAAACATTTTTGAAATTAATATGCTGCAGGTTAACTTATTTTAAGCCTGATCGCGATATCCTTTTATGTTTCATTCACGATTGTTTTGTACTCGTTTATAGATGCCATGCAAATGTTTTGAATATCTGAATATTCACTATTAAATGAGTAAAGGAGTCTCACCTACCTCTTTCAATTAGTTACTTAGGAAATCTATAATCCTAAAAATTAGAAATCTGAAACATTTCCTGGCTCTTGAAATTTCTCGACAAAGTTGGAAAGATTAAATTGAGGTTATACAATCTATAGATATGGAAAACACATTCTTTGTGGTTGTCATTCATTCCACGTGTTTTAAACTTTATTGTTATTGTTTATAAAATGCGGTTCGAAATTTAATTATTGATATCTATGTTATCCCAATGGAGATCGAAACAATATCAATGTGTGTTGTTTACCAAATTAACAGAAATATTGACCCAAAATAAAACAGATATTTACCACTTATAACTCCCGTGCAAACTATAATAGTTTGAGAATTCGATGCTAGCGAGCTTGCTGCAAATCCAACACATGCAATTACTGAACCAAAAGCTACAGACAATCCTATTCCTAGACGGTGTATTGCAAATGTCCACAATATACCTACAATATATCACATAATTTTTCAAAAGGAATATACCTTCGAAATAATAATTTACTGCGAGCAACAGAAACGTGCGTTTCATTTTAAAACCTTCAAAATATAAACATTGATTTGGTATCTACAATCTGACTTTGATAAATGGTTTGTAAACTGGTCAATTCAAACTAATTAAAGTACAGAAACTTAACAAGAAATAGGTAATCCGAATAAACTACTACGCAACTAAATCATATATTTTGTTTACCTCCTCCATATGCAGTAAAGTCGAAAGTTCCTTGGATGAAGGCGCCAGTCAATCGCGATGTACTAAACACGTCAATTAGGTCGGCATACATAACACTAAATCCATAAATTAATCCAACACTGACACAAGATTGAATCATGCATATCAGTGTAACCAAGAACCGTCCTCCGTATTCCATCGCTTTGTTGTAACCTGCACCAAAGTTTTGATCAAATGTTAATTCCGCGTCGTTTAGTGAACAATTTTTGAAATACTGTTGTTTTTGTCACGTGAGCCAAAATATGTTTCTTATTTTAGTTGACTGTTTTGATTCTATATTAATTTGCATGTGATTCGACATGTTTGTAAAAATAAAGGACATTTCAAACATCTGTTTAACGCAATAACTCATAATAAATAATTTTCATTTTACTGTCGATAACAAAAGAAACAGGACTAAAACATTTTTTTCATCACCCCTAGACCACAAAAGAAAAAAAGAGAAATGCAAACTACCAAAAGAACATTTTTGTGCGGTCACTATGTTCTTCGCTTTTTATACTAAAAGTGAACTGTGTTTCTAAGGCAGTGAACACAATTTGCGGAATAACGGTCGGTTTCATAAAGACCATTGACATAATTAAAGTCTATTGTTTAAGACAGAGATTAGGGTGGATGCAAAAGGATACATAATTGCTTCGCACTCATGGTTCTACTGTTGAAATATTTACCGTGCCAGTACAAGTAATCTAGTAATGCGAAAGTTTTGTACAAAAACATGTAGTCGACATTAATTTTGTCAGGTATACCCCTCAATAAATACTAGTGCAATCATTAGATGTAGGTTTGAACCAACAATTAATGTAAAAAGTTACAGATTATCTCTATGCTTCGGAGCCTCTTAGGTGAAATTTTCCACACTTTTCCCCCCTTGACTTAATTTGTTTTTACGAAATATTATTTACAGCTCGAGGTCAAAATTTGAAAAAAATGCAGGGCCTTTTAGAGCTATTTTTTGTTCTGGTTTTAATTTGGTAAAATTATGTGGAATTTTGTGAAATTGAGAAATTTTCAAAAATTAAAAAGCTACCTAACAAATTGGTGTTAAAGGGAGACACAGGCAAAATTTTCATTGCTTCGTTTTGAAGTTTTCAGCTATTAATCTGTAAAATGTCCACGTGGGTCAGGTAAGAGCTTTAGGATTTCACAAATGTTGTCACAGTGAACTCTGGAAACGTTAAAAAATGTTAAATGAATGGGTTAAAACTTGTTTCAATCACACAATATTCACAATGTTTGTCATTGTAACTTCCAGGGTTTGTTCAAGTCATATGTCTTGTTCTTAAACTACTCGGTGATTTTGCCTGCGTCTAAATTTCGTTCAACATATATAGATATTTTTACTCTTCAAATCCAAAATATATAGAGTTGATACAGAATTTCAAGCTGGGACGTTTCAAAAATGTCATTTAAGCGTGACTGGAGTACATAAAATCATTTTGATATTTTTGTCCTTAATTTGCATGTGAATCCTTTGAAAGGGGCTGGCCTCCAGATGATTGACAAAAAGAAATATTCTCGTATTTTAGAGCTTTGGTAATATTCATAAAGACATTGCATCTAAGTTTCTGACTAAATATATGTTAGGCAACAAAATATAAATAACGATATTATTTCTTCTAACTCTTATGCCTTAACGCGAGGGTATAACAGTAATGTATTGGACATAAATAACCGCCAGTTTAGAAGTACATGTTCGGGGGACAAGTTTGTTAAAATTGAGTTTTCCTTTTGTCGATTTTATTGCGTTTTAATGCAAAATATCATATTTTTATGATCACACGGAGCTCATACATAAATTTTAAGGAGATATATTTTTAGGGAAAATCTGGGGGCAAACTTCGTTAAGTTTTACTAGTGTGTATTATCAAAGAAAGTAATAATACAGCCTGTTTCATTTAAAAATTCATGTCAGAAAAGATTAATTTTCTCAAAAGATAAAACATTTTGTTATTTGCCAGCTGTTGGGAATATGTTTAAGAAAAAAAAAAGAGAATATTTTGGATTGAGAATGACTTGTCACTGAAAAGCAATGTTCACTCAAATATAGGTACTTGAGAACCATCAGACCTATAATCATTATATTTGATGGCAAGGTTGCTCCAGGCTTTTGATTGTGAGGTTACAATTTTTCATCAAGCTAACAATGATCTTCAATACGATTTCGTATAAACAAATTTATATTTCATAATTATGAATCAATATTTCTTAAAAAAGAATTAATATTTCGTACAAACGAATTATTTTTTCGTAATTACAAATAAATTGTTCGTAAAAATCGAATTATCATTTTGTAACAACGAAGTAATATTTCGTAAAAATGAGTTATTATTTCATGAAAACGAAATAACATTAAAAAAAAACGAAATAATACTTCGTAATTACGATCTGATATTTTTTAAAATCGGATGAATATTTCGTGATAACGAATTAAAATGTAGCACATTCAACCGAAATAATTTCCGGGAAGAAAGTGTGGAAAATGTCACCTTTGGTCTCCGTACTGTGCGCCGTATTTCCAAATTAATGTTTTAGCAAATTGATCACAAATGTAAAACGTTGCAACCATTTTAACCCCAACAGGGTTTTAAAGCGCAAACTATCGATTAATTTGTCTAATTATCCTTCGCAAAATTTTCCACTTTATCTGCCACACTCGAACAATGTTAGAAATTCAAATTTATGTTTATACGCTTTTTACCATTTTTAAGATTGTGCGATGGTTTCTTTTCATATGGTCCCTTTGATCAAACGCTGGCCAATCGTCATGCACTGAAGACGTCAATAAAATTTATCATAAGGTCTGCGTAAATTACACAGAAATCATAAAATGGTTACAAAAAAAGTTAAGAGTATTGCAGCACTTGAAATGTATAACAATGTCTACAGTTATGAAATATATAATATCAAACATAGGTTTTAAAACAATACAAAATTTGAATATACTGTATAAATATACATGTATAGATATTTAGCTGTAGTAATGAATAAAATTAGATTTGTTAATTAAATGTTATACTAACTTATACGCGTTGATACTTGGGCATGAATGTAACATACAGCACAGATCGTTCTTTAGAAAAAAAACAAATATCTGAATTATGTAGTCATCATTATTATATTAAAATCGACGTTACAAATGTGCATTATTATAGTACGAATTGCTCATTCAGCGTTTTAATCTTGTAATGTATAAACCTAAAACATACACACTATGCTAATTATCCTATGATTTATGACGAGTTTCATAAGTCATGTATGTTTTCTTGGAGTATTTATATGTACATGCATTGTAAGATACAAACAATAAATAATTTATTGTAATATATTTTAATATTGCAAAAAAATAATAAATTGAAATCATACGAGGGATGATCAAAAATTAACCGGACTTTGTAAATGATTCTTTACCTAATAAATGAATTTACATAAAAATACACGGAACATAAATCGGAATCTATCCCCTAAATGATACAAAAAATACCAACAAGAAATATAAACAAATAAAAAAGTTATGCTGCTATTGGCATGTACATGTAAAGCAATGCGGCGCACGGTATAACTTTCAAATTGACGTTAACGACGTCACAAACGTATTTTCCTTAACGGAGCAGTTTTTTTACTCATTCACGGAGTAGGCCAATACGTGGTACAGTCATGTTGTTGATGCGGCGGATCCACTGCCTATATATATTTCTGTACAAGTGGGTATCATATTGTATTGTAAAAGAATGGATGATGATAAAGAGCTCCTGTAATGACGCAAATTTCCGTTCTTTCCTTCTGTAACTTGATTGTTGGAAAAATTGCACATGCAATAAACTATATTATGTATTACAAATAATGTAAAATAATGTTGCTGAATGATAATGTATCATACATAAGAAAAAAATACAACTATGAACAAAATTGTCATTATTTTAAAATAAAAAAAAACGCATAGCCGATTTTGAACAGTGACTGTCTAATTGTTGACACAATTTCTCTATAAAACTACTGCCTAAAATAAGAAAATAATTGATACAATTGTAAACAAAGAATACAATATATGTAATTAATGCATTAACTATTATCATTTTAAAATCCTTAGAGCTGACTGCACCGTGCCGTAGCTACTGTCGAACATCGTTGACAATGTCCGCAGTCAATCGACTGTCATTTTTCAACGTCTTGGCGATTGACGTCCCCAACGTCCTTGAAAATTTCTTTTTTCTGTCTCTCCCTTACTTGTTTTCTATTTCTCTATTACCCTTTCTTAGTTTTTTTTATGCTAATCAAAAAATATGCTGTGGCTTTCTGGAACTTTTCCCTTGATAGCCATAATCTTTTTCTACGTTTTAAACAGTTTCTCGTCTTACTTTTGACAAATTTTTCTTATTGATCGATTTTCGAGACATTCCGACGACATAGTTTTAACGGAGTATTTCATTAACATGTGACGTTTGAATTGTGATTGCAAATATAAATATGATTTGAATCAAGTAATTTTTACTGACAACGTCAAAGATATGGTACATGACGTGTTGGCGTATTTTGAGATCTAAATGTCCCATATTGTAAAATATACGCTGCTTAAAGAGCCTGGTGTCAAAGCGAATTTACGCACTGCGCCGGGTAAGCGTTACCATGGTTTTTGAATTCGCTGTTAAGGACAAATTATTTGCGTTATCAGATTAGATAAAGCATCAGTTTAAAGGTATTGTTTTCCGATTAAGTGTGATATATAACAATAAGTGATAGGTTGAAAATTCATCAATTGATAGTCACAGTCCGGTTTAATTTTTATCATCCCTCGTATATAGCAAGCATATAAAATAAAGCCATTTATCAATATTTTAATAACTTAAAGTTCTCTTTCAGATAATATACATGTCTTAAATACACAAATTGTACGTTACATTGGAATCTTTAATATTCCATATTTAATATAAAGTCATCATCTGTTTTTACTATATTTCATTTACAAAGTAATTATACTCTAACAGAAGTTCTGATGCATTTTGTCACGATAAAATGTGAAGCAAAATTTAACACACATTTTAATTTGCTTTCCTTGGCATGGGGAGGGGGTTAGCCTTGCTAAGGATTGTTGCTCTAAAATTGTTAAATCCCGTGTAAAATCATAGTTTTGAGTATTTGATTCCCTTGTTGTAAAGATTTTATTAATCAAACGGATCTGATTTGTTTCTATATCAGCATCGGTGATCATTTACATAACCTCTCTTCTACTAAGTTGGCTCCTTGCCAACGGCAAGGGACCAGTCAAAAACAGAAGAAGGCACAAGTGCAAAACGCGGACGGGTATAAATGTAAATTATTCAGAAACTCATCCATTTGTGTCACATGCCATTTGATATATCAATTTAGTAACAAGCTATATATATTTATTTCTAATGTTGTTTACAGAAAATACTGACGTACCATAGACATATAATACAATTCAAATAAAGAAATAACCAAATTTAGACCAGGCAGGAAAAACAATATTTGTAAATAGTTTAATTGATAGACTTATATTTTGTGACTTGTTCATTATATTCAGTTATAAAACTCTTTCTTTCCATGTCCCGTTTTCTTGTTTCTTTAGCAATGATTACAAAACCTAAGGTAACTATGATAGCAGCTGTCACTCCAAGCTTGTATGCCATATCATAATTTCCATATATGTCTCTGATAATACCTGAAACAAAAACAAATTATAAACTGTCCGGACATAGAGGTATTCCGACTAAAACTTTTCTATATAATCATCTAGTTATATGAAAAGCAGGTTATGATATCACAACTGCATTTTTTATAGGGGATTTTTGTTTGATTGCCTCAAATTTTATGATATCTTACAGATAATTTGATAAAATTTCGTGGAAATTAATTTAAGAAACACTTTTCATATCTTAAGTGTTTTTGCCGGGTTAAACGTCGCAAAAACACAGCGACTTTCCAACTTTACTAGTAGAAAATGCATTTGGCGCCCCTCCGTATATTATTTCAGGCACAAACGGGTATAAGATAGAACCTTTGACGTTAATTAGGCCAGGGGGATATATTTCTCACATGAAAAAAAATCCCTGATGAAATTCTAGCCAACATCACTTTTATATATTATGTAATCAATATTTACTTAAAACATACACATTTACATTTATATAACGCCGTATTTAATATTAGTTTGCATTACAACTAGTCAGGTGCGCCACATGACGCCAATTCGTAAGGCGTCTTAAAAGCAATATGAATTGTGCGTTTGATATATTTTCAATGCATGTTACGGGATTGAACAGTTTGTTTTTATTTATAAGTTTTGTATTTCAGACATATTTCATACATCGTATTCATATATTCTAGTGTCTTATTTAAAAGCGTTTACTATACACGGCAGAAAGCATTTATATGTTATTTGTGTAAGGGAATGTCATTTACCGCCCAACGTGACGCAAACTGTATTATGATCCTTTGAACAGAATCTAAAATGCCATACTTTTTATTCTGTTCTTTAGATGAATGCTTATTTTGCGGGTGTGTGATTTTTTTTAAAACTTCAATAGAAATACATATGTAATGTTATTAACCGTTTCTTGTGCCATAATTGTTTTCTTTCAAAAATTATAAAATAAAATCGGATAATTTATACATAGCAAAGAAAAAAGGTATCAAAAAAGGTAAATCACCTCCTATAAAGTTGCTTAGTAAGTTTGCAACACCAAATGTCAAGTTCAATTGAGATACTGCTTGTTGAAACTTGTCTTTGTCGGACAAATCGTAAATAATAACTGGTGCAAATACATTCAGCAACCCAAACGCTACACCATGAACTGTACAAGCTGCATACATCCATCTGCCGAGCCTTTGCAGTAATATAACCAGTACGTGTGCTACTGCTAGAATAGGACATACGTAAAACATGTTGTACACAGCAAGGCATGAATGTTTCCTTAATTTTACCATAATACCTAGTATACGCCCTACAAGATTTGCAAATCCTAACACAGAAAGTAACGATGTTGCAAAGTGCTGAGTGTACCCACGAGATGTCATCTGGTCGACAAGAAACCACATTTCAAAATTTGCTGAAGTGAAACAGTTAATAATATTTATTGGTTGACGCATTATGCATACAAATCATTATCAAATGATATTACTTACTAAAATTATGTACATTTATAAACTGATGATGATTTCTAAAAAATATATATATTAAAAAAAATATATAAATAAATACAGGTACATTATTTTCTGATTTTTAATTGTAAATACGGTTTGAAAACGGAAAGAATTATATTAAGTGTTTTGAATACATTTAAGAGGAACATGTTTTAAACGTACTTGAGGCAAAAATAAGAAGAACTATAACGAGAAATAGCAAAGTCACAGGATCAAAACACAGTTTCTTGCAACATGTTCCCGAATTTGTATTGGAGTTATTCTCCTTTATGAAAATATCATTTGAATATTGAATAATCACACCGCATGGCAACCCATGCAGGGCAATACCGGCTAGAAGGATAAATGCCCCGGACCAGTGATAAAGATCAAGGAGAACACGATAGATTTGTGGCATGGCCATCTGTCCGACACTACCTGCAACTGTTAGCAACGCTATCGGAAAGCTTGCATCTGTTTTGTACAACAAACCTACCACTGCAAAAGGAGCCATAAACCCGATCGATAATCCAGCACCTGAAATGTTAAAAAATATCTATCACAGGTGTTCTTTTCCATATTTACACCAATCATGCTTGTCAAATCAGTAAATCATTTTGTTTCAAGATTCTTGGATTAATATCATTAAATCCTCGACTGGGCATAGACAATCATATGACTCATACTGCTTGTGGCACAGAATAGATACAAATGACAAAACAATATTTTACCACATATAACTCCTGTGCAAGCAACAATAGTTTTCGAATCCGATGCAAATGCACTTGTGCCGAATCCAACAAAGGCCAATAATGCACCAAAAGCCATTGATGATCCAATGCCTAGATAATGTATTGGCCATGTCCATAATACACCTATAATACATGAAATAATTATTGAAAGCTATGTACTTTTGCTGTATGATTATAAGAAACAAAGAAGACAATAATTTAAAAAAGGAAAATCCATGTTGTGTTTTAATTTTGAACATTACCATAAAAATGATATAGCACATTTACATTTTATGTGTTTTTATAAAATATATCAGTGTAAATGCTACGTCTAAACATGGCTCACCGATACAAACTGTGCTATCTCCCTGAATAAACAGACTACGGTGGCAATCATCATCATATTGTAAGCAATACAAAAGTCCCCTACCGGATAGATGCCCAACATCTTTCTCAAGGGTCATTTGCCAATAAATGTTGCCATTGTGGACGGATTGACACACAGACAAACGGGTGGAGGGTAAACCTCAAGTCCTCTCCGGTTAAACCGGTAAGGGCCTAATAATTGCAAAGCATTTTAACGATACTTTGTACTCATATAACTGCTAGGACATCAGCTTTCAGATAAATACGTTATCTCCTGATATTATCGGAGGTGTATAACCACAAATACAATTTTGCAAAATTCACATTTCAAAGCCGACTGACTACCATTATATTTTTATTACATTTTGCTCTAAAAGTATTCTTTCATTATTATTATGTAATGTGCAATATGTATGTGTGTTGCAATAAACTTGCAATGTTAAAACTAATTCAAGAATTGAACATATAATTATGGAAACAATATAGATTTACTGTTTATATGCTTTAAAGAAGTTTGAACGGAGGAAATAAATTTATGACTTAAGGTCACATGTGTAAGCATTTTAGGCACACACATTTTTTACTTGGGGACAATATGCCGTTTTTCATGGAATGGCACTTATGTGTCACAATGAAGGTTCCACGATAACCGCCTTATGAACACATCTGCGGATCTTTTAAAATTCAAAATTGTACACCACCAGTTTATGTTAAATGTACAATTCTGGTTGGGCCGGTGCTTGGGGCCTGGACGGTGGTTTGCGCTTGACAATACCGTCCATGAACAGGCCCAATCAAACCGAGCCTGCATTTTTTTTCAATTTCGCCGTGTTGTGATTTCTTTTGGAATTCTTATTTTCTCTATTCCATTCCTTATGTTGAGCATTTATCGTGTTATTATGCACTCAAGTGTTATGTTAGTTTAAAATGGGACTAGAATGAGGTGTGTTAGAAATTAAGAAAAAATAGACTGTAATCTTGAATACTGATTGAGGCAAACAACCTGTAATGACAGAAAATATCAGTTAAAGCAATACCTCCTCCTAATGCAATGAAATTAAAAATTCCTTGGATCAAAGCACTGGAAAGTCTCGATGTACTGAACACGTCTATTAGTTCAGCATACATAACGCTAAATCCATATATTAGTCCAACACTGACACAACATTGTATTAAACATACAAGTGTAACGAAAATCCGTTTTCTACTTCCAGTGTCGTTTGCCATCGCTTTAACCTCAACACAATGCACAAGTGTTGTTTTGCTAATATAAGGTTTTGATGTAATGAAATATAACATATATCTTGTAATATATGCAACTAGATATGTTAATTTAATTTTGTGCTGCTGTGTATTTGATATTGCAAATAGATAAATACATCATGGGTCATTCTTTGTTGGTATTTGTAGTAAAGAGAAAACTGAGCACGCTAGATAAATTCAATTTCTATTATTACAATGACAAAGAAAAAACGACTTAAACTTTATTGCTATCATAAATAACTGGATGTCAGCAGTTAGCTGGAAATAATTACGCAAAACTCATATCCTATATAATATAATAATAGTCACAAAGAACATGTGCTCAAGTAATCAAGTCGAAAAGATCTAAAACCACGTGCAGTGTTGTGTGAACGTTTTCAGTTGTATTGTAATATTTAGGTTTTATAACAAGAAACCTGTTATATTTAAGATTGTTAAAGATATGAATGCGATATGAGGGTAATAGCAACGCATCGTTTAGTAAATACCTTTTTAAATGTCAAATGTAAAGTACAAAGTATACAAATTCCCGTACATCTCGAAACGTAAAACCTACATTTCTCTGAAAGTATAAACAAAATGTTTTATGAATAACAAAGTTTGTATTCATATTTCACAGTTGCAGTTGTCGTTGCACACTATCTTCATATATAGAAACATACAAAACATGTTTTTAACAAGCGGTAAGAACCTGAAGCAGACGATAAGTACTTGAATTTTATGTTGTATATTGTTTTATTTTGCATTTAAATTTCGCTTGAAATTATATGGTATAATAAATAGTTTCAAATTATTTTAAGACTGATTCAGATGTATTGCGGTCGACTTTTCGATCATGTTTAAAAAAGAATATTTTTGTCGATGTTTTTTAATGACACATAAATATGCGCTTTTTCTTAAACCTTTGTAAACGGTATCTTATTTGGTGTTTCTGTGATATGGTATAACGTTAATAAAAATGCAATTCCATTTATTGACTCTGTTTCTCGACTTCTATCAAGAATTATTAATCAAGTTAAAATGACAGACTTTAAAATCGCCAAGACCTTGCTAAAATATTGAAATTTGCAACAAATTAAGTTGTATTACACCGAAACTTTAATGCTCACAGACACACTCTCTTACCTGTTCCACGGTCTAACAATACTAAGCAACGGCAATATCCTTAGGGTACACTGAAACGACACTAAAGTTAGTTGTCATGAAAAGACACAGCGATCCATGATCCTGTCTAATTAACTCTCATCGTTTTATAATACTGATAAAAGATAAAACACGTAATTTAACAATAAATACATTTTATTCAACAAATTAATTATTTGTTAAAACGAACTGTAAACCATTTAAACATAACAAAACGAAGAATGTGTGACTCCACTGAGGTTTAGGGGCCTTAAACATTACATTTCGAATTTCTTACATAAATCAGCTGGGGCACTTTAAACAGAAATATATGCAAAGATAGTTAAAAAAATACTTTGAAATAAATTGACAATCATATTTTAATTCGTTTCTTACCCCGATTTGAGTGAAAAGCGTTTAAACGCTTTTCATATTGGGACATTCTTTTTACAATTTGAATATTCTGGAAAATTTTTTTAAAACGAAGTGCGTGAATGATCTGAAATTTTGCACAAAGATTAGAGGTCCAAACCTACATGAAATGGTGCATTTATATGGAAAAGAATATTTTCAGTCCCATCGTTTCAAAAAACCTCTGTGGAGTCCCTTTAAGGTACAACACTCAATGTAAGTCTAAAAATTTCAAAGTTTTGTGAATGCTAGGTGAATGCCGGTGCTAGGAAGGCGTTGACGGTACTTTGCACAATCTAGTATCGTCCATGAACAGGCTTTATCACAACGAGCCTGCAACATTTTCAATGTTGCCGTTTGTGTCGCTCTTAAGGGGTTCTGTTTTTGCTCTGTTTGTTGTTGTTTATTTTTGTTGTTGTTGTTTTTCCATCTATTTTAAAAGGTATGTTCATTTAGTAAGATATTAAGTGCTAAACTTATTATTAATGCAGATTACAGTATTTTATATCTTTAACACTCCTGCCATGTACATGTGAGAGGATGTTGCATCAAAAACATACAGTTGTTCAATCCATACTACGGTATGGTATCTCTTTTACATTGCCATGGTGGAGAAGACTGTCACTTTCTCTCTGACGTCTATGTTGGATAATTGTTAGAACAATAAATCCGATTGTGATCAATAATGAAACTGCTATACCTATTTTATATGCTGGATCATATTCACCGTACACATCTCTTATTGTACCTGAAATAAAGTGTCTCTTTGAAGCATTTCTAATTACAATTATGTCGTACTACTTCACAATTGTAATAAATAAAATGTAATATCTCGTATTCATGACATTGCACCTAACCGTAATTATCAATTGCTTTAAATAAATCATATTATCATAATACATATGACATATTTATTTATTAACACATGATTGAATTTTTAATAAAGCTATAGCATTTGGTAAATAAAGAGAAAATATATTCTGACATGAACGGAATAAACCAGTTACGTGCATTTGCTTTTGTTTCATCATGTAAAAAAGTGTTTAATATACAACCTTATATTATGGTTCAAATTTGATGAGAAATATCAAGACAAAAATTAAAAAGAGTGCGCATCTTACAACGCTCCATACATTTGAGGGAAAAACATGTAAGAGGACTACATTACGATTAGATTTAACTAAAGAAAAACAAGAGGAAATTTTCACAAGGTAAAAATAATCGGAAATCACCTTGTCTCCACCTTCCGTAATATAGTATATATCATGGAGATGCATATTTTAATAAGGCACGATAATTATGTAACGTTCTTTTATTTTATATTGAATTAAAAATAGAACAATTGTAGCAAAAATCAACAAAGCTAATAACTAAATGCTACACTAGCAATGTGGTGGTATTTATTCCTTACCTCCTGTAAAATTACCAAGTATAGTTGCAAGACCAAGTACTATGCATACCAAAGTAAATGCTTTTTGAAACTTATCACTTCCAAACAATTCGAACGTAATAACTGGTAGCATTGCAACAAGAAGTCCATATCCGAAACCATACACAATACAAGCCACAATCAACCAGTTGCCATATATTTGAAGGTATATCACAAGCGTGTGAGCTATTGCCAACAATGGTCCAACATAAAACATATTGTATATGGCCGGTATCTGTTTCAACTTCAGTTTCAGAAAACTTCCTATAATGCGGCCAATCACATTTGCACAACCAAGTATCAATAGCAGGAAAGCTCCAAACCGTTGTGAATAGCCAATTGATACCATTTGATCAACTAGGAACCATGGTGCAAAGTTGACTGAAAAATAAAGATTGATCATATATCATTAAGTAATTAAAAATAAATTTAACACAATTTCATCTAGTAGTTAGATAGTAAAATGTGTAATATATCTTCCGCACATTTATTTATTGATCTTGTTGTAAGTTTAAAAATGGAGGAAACAGTACAAATATACCTCCCCCATCGATTTGTCTTATGCAGGCGTATGATGTCAAAATGAGAATACACTAAAACAATAGTAAAGAAATGATACCAAAACCGGTAATAATTAAGATCCATTTACAAATTTTATTAAAAATTCACGTTACCAAACATTATTATGGATATAATAGTGTTTTGTCTGAAGAGAATTGTATGTAGCATTTAAAAGAGTCTCAAATCATACACACCAATAACCTTGATTTACCTTATTCAATTAAATTGATTTTCAATTGAGGGAATACCTACTTTGCTTAAAACACATACCTGTTGCAAACGTTACAAGTGTGATAATCAAATATAACCATGTAGCATAGTCTGCCAGCAATTCTATTCCAAACACATCATTTGACGACGTTGCAGTCTCTTTTTCAGATGTATCAAGTAGCTTATGTGAATAATGAATGAACAGCCCGCATGGTATGCCCTGCAACGAGATGCCTGCAAGAAGAATAAACGCTCCAGACCAGTGGTAGTAGGTTAGGAAAATTTCGTACACATATGGCATGACCATTTGACCCACGCTTCCAAAAACTGTTACCAATGCTAATGAAAATCCTGGCTCCTTATATATCGCTCCTACTATTGCAAAGGGAGCAAGAAAGCCAAGCGACACACCTGCCCCTGAAAAATAAACCGACACTTGAATGTTAACAATGAATAGATATTTAAGGAAGGTACAGATGCCATAACGAAAAACAATCGAAGAACAAGATAAAAAATAGTGCAAAATGTTTGTTTCGTAAAAGAAAAATTCAATTTGAGATCATTCTTGAGCAGAAATAAGATTAAAGACAATTTATTCCAAATAAATTAGAAAATTGTGTCATACCAGCAATAATCCCAGTACAGACAACAATAGTTTCGTAGTTGCTAGCCAGGGAGCTTAGTATGAATCCTATGCATCCAATTAGGGCTCCTGCGACCAACGATAATCCATAACCTATCTTTTTTACTGGCCATGTCCATAATACTCCTATGGGAATCAAAATGGTAAAGCATGAAAACGAATAGAGAAAAAAGGAATCCCTAAAGTAATTCTAAAACGGCAAAATGTTGCATGCTCGGTTTGATTGAGTCTGTTCATTGACGGCACTGTCGAGTGCAAACTACTGTCCAGGCCCCTAGCACCGGCTAAAGCAGAATTCAAAATTTCAACATGAAATGGTATAATTTTGAATTTAGAAACATCAGCAGGTGTGTTCATACGGAACATTCATACTTTCAAACAAGAAGTAATTGAATTACAAATCTAATAGATCACCTTCTAGAATTTAATACATGACACAACGTTTCTTCTAGTTTAATGTTTTATGGTCAAAACCAAAATGATGTATTTTACCACTGAAAGATCAGTGTCAGTTTGGGCTTTAACATCAGTTCAGGTTTTTTAATCAAAGACTTCTTCAAACAAGTTTGCAAGCATAAGCACTGCCGATACCTCCGTAAAAGATATTTCTATTGACGTCGGCAAACATATCAAATCAGTTCGGACGACTAACTCACATTTGTTATCGTTTAATTTGTATGGGTATCGTTTAGATTCTTCTTTTGTATGACTTTAACTAGCTTTTCTAACAGATAATGACTAATATGCATACCTCCTCCAAGAGCAACAAGATTGTATATTCCTTGAATAGTTGCACTTTTTATTCTTGTCAAATGAAACACATTTGTAAGGTCTGCATACATAACACTAAATCCGAAAATAAGACCTAGAGATAGAAATATTAATATTAAACAAACACACATTACAAAAAACTTTCGCCAATCAAAATGTGATACGGTCATGCTTTTATCTGGGATAAATTATTTTTTTTACAAACAAAAAATATCATCTATATCATCCGTATTAATAAGTGGTAATAAACTCACTTTGAATTGAAGAGAAATTTATTTGTATTTGATTAAAATGTATTGATTTTAACTTTATTACATTTACATGTCTTTATTTTAATCAAATTGTATGTGAAATCTCAGACATTATGCAAGTGTATGCATATGTTATTAACCGTGCCAGTGTGTACTGTAACTTACCTTGAAACTGTGAAAGAACTATATAAAACATGGCAAGGTGACTGCTTTCAATTTTTAATTATTTATCATATTATTCTGTACGTGTTTTGTCATTGATCCTCCGCAAGTATTTGATCTGTCCTGCTGAGCTCCTTGCCGGTGCTGCTGTATTGCTAAATTATGTTGATTGATGGGTTTATTAAATTTCACCTTCCTTGTTGATCCAAAGTGTCATATTTTACAACAAAAAGCTTCTCTCCAAAGTCTCCTCTTTTTCTAGAAACATTGTATGTGATTTAAAAGCATGTGAATTTATTGTAATAGATAATAACAGACATTGTAAGAGATTATTATTATTTCATAACACATTGCAGTTATATAGTACTATAGCACTTAATAACTAAACATTTCATACACAATGCTGTATATACCTTGAAAAACCGAAGCACGCATAAAGGTATCTATAAATCGTAGACGGTCAATAACGTGTGTGCATACAATATGTTTTCTTTTGTTCTGTGTGGCATATTTTTTCATTTCGGATGTCATTACATGAAAACAGTTTAAATTTACTTCGCTATTATGACTTTATACTTTATATATACGCAGCCGTATGAACCTCTGACGCCATCTTATTAACGTGTGCCTTTTTCCAACACGTCTAAAGCCTAAAATTGCAGTTTTTTTCTTATAAACTTGTCGTTAAAACAACACTTTGCGTTAAATAAATTCCTCAGACAAGTACTCACTGGACATACTGGAAGATACATTGTTGACATTAATGTAACCATCTGGTCACATATATCTCATTTATGCTATATTTCCCTGTATGGATATTACAACAGAAACATGTATAACTAATATTATATTAATTAGAATAATTTCATTAAAATACTTAGTTATGAATAAAATTAAAATGTCACGATCTTTGATGTGTATCATAATATTATGTCGTATACTATTTTATAAACGCTGTTCTGATTAGCCGATAAGCGTCTAGTCTAGTTCAGAAAAAAAAATATAATATAATATTATCTTCCATAAGCTTTATTATTTGTTATTACATTCTGTTGGAAAAAAATTAGCATAGTTTCTATTAAACTGCATTAAGCGTTTAATAATTAGATATGCAATCAAATGACATGTTGACCATTAGAAATTTCAAAAAAAAGTTTATTGTAGACACATTATGTTATAAACCGCGATTAACAATATTCCGTAGTAACATGTACGAATATGTTAAGTAAAATGCCATTACCCACAAACATTTTAAGACGACTAAATTAATGAGGTTATCAACATTTGAAATGTTTGATGATGTTATAATAAAAAAGTACTAATAACGTTCTCTATGTATGTATTGTTCGGATTATCTCTTTATTTAAGTGAGTCATATTGCACTTCCCGTCGTCTGCGTCGATGTAAAATGCATGATACTATTGCACTATTGAATGTTATCAAAATAGTAACCCCAGCTGCGATATAGTACGCAATATCATATTGTCCAAAGCTATCCCGAATGACTCCTGGAACGAAAACAAAGATATAATTATTAATGAGCTATTGTTATTTTTTGAGTTATACTAAGGTTGAGTAGTGATATGTTCTTGTCGTTACAATGCTAGTCAATAATTATACCATAAACAGACTTGTTAAAAATTATACAAATTCGACCAAGTGTTGCATGTGCAATTTAATCCTCCGACAGATGTCATTTTATATTTATATAAAACATTAAAATTATGTAAAGAAGTAATAAGATAATGCCTAATCTGTTATTTATAAGTACAATTGCATATTATGTATAGCTAGGCTAATATTTATTAATTAAATGAGTTAAACATACCCCCGATTACATTACTAAATAGATTTCCAATCCCATACATTAAGTTGACCATTGACATGGCTTGTGGGTATCTTGCGAGGCCTGACGCCTCAAACATGATAGTTGGTGTCTGTGAATTGTTCATACCAAATGCCGCCCCTTGTAGAATACAAGCAGCAAAAACACCCCAATAACCAACCACGTTTATAACAAGTATGTGTCCAAAGGCTATGACAGGACAAAGCCACAGCCAGTGGTATACTGTTGGTATCTTACTGTAATTAGAAAATTGAAATGAGATTCAAATAACAATAATTAAAATAATAATATAAAAGTTTTATTATATACCTATAAATTTTCTGCTTAAAATACACGCAAATCTTGAGGCGCAAATACGCTTTAACGGATATAAATTTCCGTATTATGTTAGTGACAAATACGGTACCATATATGGAAGTATCAGACTATTTTTGACGTTGGTTCCGATCATAGCTTTGTATAACGTTGCATTTGGAAACGGGAATAAAAATTATTAAAGGCGTGGCCGATTTTGCAATAATTATTTAATCATCCGTCAGTCATGAATTTATTTTTTGACAACTACATTTCATTTTCTAAATAAAACGAAAACGAATATAATAAAAGGAAAATTATGATGTAAACGCTTTCAGAGGCTATGAGTTTTTCTACTCGCAACGTTGGAAAATTGATATCTTCGGTCTCGCGAGAAATCAATTTTCCACCGCTGCTCGTAGCAAAATACAAAGCCCCAGAAAGCTACTACAACATAATATTCCGTATCGATTAGTATTAACGCATTATATGTAATTTAAATTGCAATGTGTGTGCATGTGAAAAGAACACAATAAACAGTAGCAATCCTTAAAAAAATGTAATCTAATTGAACAGATGAAAACAGTAATTCGATTTGACTGAATCTTTTTATCAAACCATCAAAACATGCAACAACTCTCACGGTCGCCCAGCATTGGCAGTGCAGTATTAAGTATTCAGTATCAAACGTATTGGAATTAATGCTGAGAAATAAACATTGAATAATGACAGAAATTTGAAGATTTTATACTTTAACCTATAAAGAGATGAATGTTATATTCAAGTGCTCACGTGCATTTAAATCTCAAAGTACTTCCGCTCACCCGTCCGATAAAGTTTGCGAATCCCAAAGCCGACACAAGGATCGAACCGGATTCCCTAGTATAACCCCGTGACGTCATTATGTCAACAATAAACCAAGCTTCAACATTACCTTATAGAAAAATATAGTCTGAGGTTGAAAAGGGCTACATTAGTGCAAAAATGTTTTAATATATGTAAATGAATATTATGTAGATAATGTCGCGTGACACGATAGGAAGAATACGAGTAATACGGTGTATACAGGTAAATGAAAATATCGATTCCAATAAAAAAATAAATCATTATAATCATTATGTAACAAAATCCCCTTCTTCCAAAAAAACCCCCAGGTTTTTTATGAATTATATCATTTATAAGATATACGTGGTATGCTCATCTTGGTATAAAAACAACGACAAAAAATGTTTTACAAATATTGCTAAAATAAACTGAAATTGAGGAAAATATAAAAAACTGCATTATTTAAGGCACCAATAGGCACCTGATAAGAACCATCGACGTTTCGGAATCTGATTGAATTGATTCTTTACATGAAAGAAGTCCCGTGCACAATCTCAATCGAGGGCGGTGAGGGACAAGTGGTTTGAAGAGAAAATTAACCACTTGGCCGCGGAGACCCTCAATTGATAAAGAATGTAGTAAATTAAATGTTTTATCCAAAATGAAATGTTACCTGACAATGCAATTATTAAGAAATCGAACAACAATATCCACAGCACAATGTCTTTAAGCAGTACTGTATATCCTTCGCAGGTAGAAGAATCTTTTCTATCATCATTATTAAGATCGCTTTTCACGAAATATTCTCTAGAAGTGTAAATTATCACCCCGAAAGGGATACATTGCAATGCTATTCCCGAAACCAAAATAAACGCACCAGACCAATGATACTCAGAAATGAAGTATTCATACAGGAAAGGTATTACAAACTGCCCAAGACTAGACCCTATTGTCAGGCAAACAAGTGGGAAACCGGGATCCTCGTGAAAAATCCAGCTTATAGAGATAAATGCGGACAAATAGCAGGTACTCATTCCAAGACCTTAAAAAACAAAAAACATTAAACAGAGTTTAATATTCATATATTACCATCAGTTGTAAATATTTATGGAACCTAAATATTAAGGTTAACAATATCTTGGTAAAAAAATTGAAAATATGATATGAAACTGTTGGCAAATTGGATATAAATTAAATAAGAATGATAAATAAAGAACAATAATCATTAACGTTCATTTCAAATTACATTTACCGTTTAAGTTCTACAAATAGCAGTTCCTGTATTTCAAATTAGTTTCAGACTCTATTATCACTGTAAATGTTAAATTTTGTATTTTAATAAGCAAATTATCACACGTACAAATTCGAATTGTATGAACAAGCTTTCAATAATGTCCTTTATCAAATCAAAAGCGACTATGTAGTATTGAAGTTAACCAGTTCCAAGTGCTTTCATAGTAAATAAAAGAACATGTTTTATGAGAATCATTTCCATAAAAAAGCAAGGCAGTTAGTTGCTCTTATTTCACGGGTAAATAAAAAAGAAACCGGAAATATACCTGCTACAACACCTGTCAGGCCTATTATAGTTGACAGATTTTGTGCAAAGGAACTTGTGAACAAACCGATACAAGCTACTATTGAACCTACAATTATAGTTGGTCCCGGACCGACTTTCTTTATCACACCTGTCAGCACAATACCTGTTAATCAAAACGTTTATTTATAACAGGTTTCTGTGCCCAATCATACCATGTGAAATGTACACACAATATGAAAGTATTTCAGCAAATTCGTTATAATTTATAGTATCTATTGCGTCCAGACATATCTATTTGAAAAAAACGCATGAAAATGGATCTTTCATATTATAGAAAGCAATAGAATAATTGTGAATAATTCAATATATCTTCTAGGAACAAAAAAGACAACAACAACAACATAATGAAAAGAAAACTGATTTTCAAGCTGTCTTATACGCATACATACACGCATTTATCAAAATATTATAGAGAATTGCGTATAAATATATTTCGATAATATTTATGATATTGGTATTTTTAATCGCAAATTAAAAGACTCTCATATTATTGATATAATTCAAAACACTGCAAACTGTTATGTTTGTGCATTTGTGTATATTTCAGCTGTGTACAGGTATGTTATCGAAGAAGTTGAGACTGGAGCCAGTTAAAATAAGAAACAGTCGTATATGGGGGTAGCTTTACACATCACAATGTTACCTGTTCCTACCGCGAGTCCAAGGTAAAGTCCTTGTATAAGAGCAGCATCAGATCTCTTTGCATCAAATACAGCAATCAGCTCTACATACATTATACTAAGACCAAATCCTAAACCAACTGATACAAACTGTTGTACAAGACCTGCAACCATGACGACCAGTTTTCTTGTATGCGATACCTTTCTGTAACAATACACATAATAAATTGGACATCTCAATGATTTTTATTTCTAGCTACATGTATCGTACGGTTTTGGTGTTTTTCTATCATACAAATTCGAATTTGTGTGTTTGTTTACAAGACAAGTAAAGCTGACGTATCCATACATCGAATATCAGTACTGAAATGTTCGATATTATTCTTTTTTAATTACAACAAATTATGAATTAAATCAGCATCCGCTGCAAGGAGAAATTGCAGATTAAACTGAACTTTAGCTATAAATATGACCAGTTCACGTGTTTATGTTTGACTCAACATTCAAAATTAAGATCGAAATAATTCCAGAACAATTATATAAATCATTGTCAAAATAGTGTTGTCCATTGTTGTTGTTTTTATCTTACCTCGGTCGTTTATCGATTATCCCATCATTTCTTTCCTTCAACACGAGGCGCGTGCTCTCTGTCATTGAATCATCTAGCGAGAATGCACTGTTTTCTACCGCCATTTTATATAGCATCACCTTTTAGTTATGATTTTTCGTTGTTTTAGGATGTACTGAAATATTTTCACGTTGTACATGTTGTAATGGAGGACGTTAAGACACTACTTGTGGCTTATAAATACAGGCGCCTGTATAAGCGATGTATATACGTGATAGTGAAATCATTAAGGATAGGTAACGTGTACTTAAATATGAAATCACTTTCTTCATAGTAGCAAATACTAACGACGTATATATATGATTATTTAAATATAGTAAATTAACATAATTTATCATAATAATTACATTAACCCCGCAAGTATGTTCTAAAAAACAGAAGAAACTATACCGGGTATTTCAAAACGAACGATGATCTTAAAACTATTCATAAAATTATTAAACTTTTTTTGTATGAAAAGAAGCTGTTTTGTTAGTTACTTCATTATGCATAGCACATATCATAACATTTTGCTGATTAGTGAATCGATAAAAACATTAGGTGGTAAATAACAATTATCTTTTTCCGACAAAAATTGCAATTTTAATCATTTTATTGATTTAAGCACCCCCTGTACACGTACACATTAATATGCAAAATATGTATACTTATATTTTTCATTTCGTTCAGGAAAGTGGTTTTCTCTAATTCACATTTAAACAGTTTAGTTTACAATTGTGCAACTCTTTAAATTTTTCACAAGTAATATTATAAAATTAGTTTCAAACTGATGTTGACTTGTTAAAATTTATAAATCAAAGCAAAGTGAACACTTCATTTTCTCCCTTCTTTGTGTTTCTTACAACAAGAAAACACTTCAAACTATGTTGGTGTCAGTGTTGAAAAGTGCATGCTATAAAAAGCATAAATCACTATTGTCGAGACATTAGTCTTGTTACATTAAAGATTTGACAGCCGAGATCTTATATACCCAGCATGAGTTATCACCTGATCAACAACGTCTGGAAAGTTGAATCGGTGTAGTAGACAATATGAAACTCTCTCCGTACATGAGCAATAAAACACATGTAGGAAACATTCCTGTTAGGAACTAATATGTAAAAACGTTTTAGAACTCTATTGCTGCATTTTGTTCTTCGCGGGAGGATTACATATATAATCCCCGAATTGATAATGTTATAATGTAACACATTAATATCAGAAAAAAACTTATGAATATTAACTTTAGTACTGAATAGTTGACATAAATTTACATATTGCATTTATAAGATTAAGAATAACCGTCTCGTCTGGTTAGCTCATGCAATAGGTAGAGGATCGGGCGACCCGGGTTCGATTCCTAGACTGCGCATGTCACTTTCGTTGCGTTCTACGGTCATTCGCACTGTACCTCTGCACTAATATGTACAGAAAATTCATTTCTTTGCAAAAGTGAAGACAGCCTTACGAGGAACGATGCGGTGGCTGAACTGTGCTCTGGTTAATTCAATGTGGCTTACTGCCGTGATCCGGAGTATAAACTACCAACCAACACCTCCACCACATAAAAATAAGATGCATATTTTTATTGACATGCAAACCTAATTGAATTATGCTTTATGCGAGGAAAGTTACATTGCAATAATATTCTTTCACAAAAATAAAATAAATTACAAACATGATTCAACTGGTTGAATTGTAAACGTGGCGTATAAAATTTACCGCTGAATTGTGTATGAATTAGAATAAGGTTTACACCTTTTATAGTAATCTATGTTCGAAATTACCCTGTACACTGGCTTTTTGTTTCTTTGAGAGAATAATGCTTAGTGCCTGATTTTTTTGTAAACTTGTTTGCTTGAAAAGAAAAACCGATTCTGATGTCACTGATCTTTTTCTACCGTCAATCTGAAATCATTCTAAGAATTTCTGAGGGTCATATTTTGTCTTGGGTAGAGGGTAGAGTAATGTAACGTTTTTTTTTCTTGAGATAATAAATCTCCAAAGGCCAAGCTTTGTTAAATCAATTAAAATTCAAAATTTCGTTCGGTTCCGAGAATTTTCCAAACTGTTGGCCCCGGAAAAATGAAACGCATACGTAAAACATAGAATTGGATATATACCGTCCAAGCACAAGAATTTAATGTAATTGTGTTTTGTATAAACTATACATCACGACTCTGTTTGAAAATTTTATGCTATAATAGCGTCAACGCACGTTTATTTCGTGTTATAAAGTCTGCAGAGTCCCTCGGAACTGTTGGAGCCCTCGCCCTACCGGGCTCGGGCACCAACCGTTCCTCGGGACTCTGCATACGTTATAACACGGAAAAACGTGCGTTAACCCTATAAAAACGTTTTAGAACTCTATTGCTGCATTTTGTTCTTCGCGGGAGGATTACATATATAATCCCCAAATTGATAATGTTATAATGTAACACAGTGAAATCAGAAAAAACCTATGAATATCAACTTTAGCACTGAATAGTTGACATATATTTATATATTGAATTTATAAGATTAAGAATAACCGTCTGGTTAGCTCATGCAATAGGTAGACGCGTTGGACTGTGGATCGGGCGACCCGGGTTCGATTCCCAGACTGCGCATGTCACTTTCGTAGCGTTCTTCGGTCAATCGCACTGTACCTCTGCTCTAGTATGTACAAAAATGTCATTTCTTAGCGAAAGTGAAGGCAGCTTTACGAGAAACGATGCGTAGGCTGAACTGTGCTCTGGTGAATTCAATGTGGCTTACTGCCGTGATCCGGAGTATAAACTACCAACCAACACCTCCACCACATAAAAATAAGATGCATATTTTTATTGACATGCAAACTTTATTGAATTATGCTTTATGCGAGGAAAGTTACATCGCAATAAAATAAAATCCCCCAAAAAAATTACAAACATGATTCAACTGATTGAATTGTAAACGTAGCGTATAAAATTTTACGCTGAATTGTGTATGAATTTTTCTTTTCTTTTATTGAACAATTATAAGAATTACTCTTATGAGCTGATTTTTCGTTTATGGAAGATTGGAAATGATAGACCATTTATTTACTGCGTTAAAGGATTTATTACTACTCATAAAAATAAGTCTTCTCCGACGTGTGCAGCTCGATTGTTGGAGACACAAAAGTCAAAAGAGGGAACATTCAAATAGAAAAGCGGAAATGCATTAAGCCAACATTTGAGGGATTTCATATCTCTTATTTGCTTTGATAGTTTTCAGGAAATGCAACAATCGTCTGCTGAATTGTGAACTTCATTGATTAAAGAGATAAAGCTATTGTCTAGCACGTGCGCGTCAATTTAACGGCGTTATGACCGTTCCATTGGCTTCTGTAAGATCAAAATCATTACCCCCCCCCCCCCCCAAAAAAAAAAATCAAAAACGCAAACAAACATTCATCTAAGCTGGTAACTAGTTGTAATTATGTTTTGGGTATCAGTTTAGCGTTTTCTAAAGACTGATAATGCTTTTATCTGTTACTGTAATATTGGAAACTAATTTCTATCTTGTCATTATTGTACGTTACATAACAGCAACGAAATGCTTCTAATGGAATATTTCACTACTGAACTGTATCGATGAAATTTTCCGAACTACCTATAATTTTAATTCCATAGTATAATACAAAATATCTTAAAGTATTCGCCGCGTCCAAAAAGTCGGGTAGAATAAAATAAATCTAAAATTTTAAATTTTTAAAATGTCCACGTGGGACATAATTAATAAAGAAACTAATCTTAAAAAATAAAACATCAGACAACGTATTGTCTGATTTACTAATAAAAAAATAAAATAAAATAAATGGAAATCAAACTGATAGCACATGTTATACATGACACATGAAAAAATATCAACATAGAAGGGTGGTACTCAAAGAACGCATCCCCATGGACTGGCCAATCCTAGAATTTCTTGATATTAAACACTTTAGCGGAGGCAAAACAAGAATATTCCTATATCTTGAATCATGTTTGTGTTAAAAATAGTATAATATCACTTCAGTTAAGATAAAACGTTAGCTTTCCAAATTAATGCTTATGTTTATGGTATTAGATTCAAGCAAAGCAATCAAATGATTATGTTCTACAAACATCTCAATTTATGCCTTTCAAAATTTATCTAGTAAATAAGGAATTATAAAATTTTGGACAATGTGTGATCCATCCGAAGCAATAATCACAACAAAATTTACATGAAAATTGCAGACTCGGTTTGATTGAGTCTGTACATGAGGGATAATGTAAAAGTGCAACATCCCTCACGCCCCTAGCACCGGCTGAAGTTTGCCTAACAAAACGTCAATTGCTATAAATATTGGAAATCCTTACCCTACAAAATACCTTACATTTACTTGTCATTCATCATTCTAGAGAACAATTGAAAATGTTTACTGACAGAATAGCGAACAGTTCAGACCATGGTCAATGACAATGCATTTCACATTCGTCGGTACAAGCTACCTTTCGTGTAAAAATACATTGTTTAACGTGTCTTTGCCCTGTCCTTTTTATGTTTGGGATCCACCTGGGCTCCTTGCCATTGGGTTCTTGTTGCTTGGTCATATGGGGGTTGCGTTCATTGAACGCCGCCATTCCTTGTTGATCTTGTTTACCATATTCCAATTATAAAACTTATGTTTGCCCTATTGTTTCTGAGGCATAATCAAAATGCCTTTAAGAAAAACAAAACATGCTTGCCTCAGCCTCATTCACCTCATCAGAAACAATATTTACTCCTTTCTTTGAACTAATCTTGTAAAGTCTTGTCCCTGATAAGATTCACGCTTTATTTAATGGCATACATCACGAACATAGCAAGATAGTTACTAAAACAGCATTTTACGAGGGCGTTAAATGTCTAATGAGAGATCATGTAAAGTCTTAAAAGTGCCGTGTTAACGTGATTTATCGCAAAAAATGTTTAAGATGTAGGATATTTTCATTTTATAATTGGAAGCAAGACACAACATGAACATTAATAACATTTCCTCTGATGCTGTTTCACCGAGATTTTGATGTAAACATGTTTATTTGAAAGAGGCGGTTCAAAATCTACACACATTCATCAGTCTACCTTTCTTCTGCCATTGTTACAAAAAAAACCTGCAGTAAAGTTCTCCTAGACTAGAGTCCTTAATGTTTCTTGTTTTCTGAAGTATTCATAACTTCAACGTTTGGGACAAAGGTTT